CCAGGGCCCCAGGTCTAAACACTGGACACAGAAAATTTCTCCTGTGTTGTTATGATCAACATAAGACTTTGGGGACCAAGCCTTTGACACATGGTTTTTTGGGAGACACCCAATCTAGTATCCAAACCACAGTGTGCAGGCCAAGGTGAGGAAGGGACATTTTGTGAATGAGTCACAGGTAGGAGAGTAAGGCTTGGGATGGGACTTCAGCAGTGTTTGGGACAAGGCGCAGGCAGGGACGGAGGTCAGCAAATTCACTGGGGCTTCTGCCCCCATGTCCTTGACAGGACCTTGTTCCAGACTGCCCACCGTCCTTTGCTTTGCTCCCCTGTGGCCTGCAGCCTGACTTCCTGCTTCTGGTTTGTTCTGTGCTCCACCCTGATAGCTGCCTTGGCCCTGGGGCAAGTTATTTAATCTTCCCAAACTGTGCTGTCTTCACTTAGACAATGTTTCCTAGTTTATTTTGTTCATTTTCTTTGAAAAACAGAAAGAGATCTTTCAAGTGCTGATTCATTCCCCAAAAGCCCACCGCAGTTAGCACTGAGCCAGACAGAAACCAGAAGGCAGAACTCAATCCAAGCCTCTCTCCTCCTTAATGGGTGACCAGGATCCTAGAACTTGAACCAACGTTGCTGTCTCCTAGGGTATATGTTAGCAGGAAGCTAGATTCAGGGGCAGGGCCAACCTCAACTCTGGGAGCTCTTTCAGAGGATAGCATGTTCCAAACATCATTTTTAAAAACTTTTATTTATTTATTTATTTGATAGGCAAATTGAGAGAAAGAGAGAGTTTCCAGCAATTTGTTTACTCCCCAAATGACAACAGCCATAGCTGGGCCAGGCCAAAGCCAACTGTTTGGAACTTTATCAAGGTTTCCCATGGGGATGGTAGGATCCAAGTACTTGGGCCATCCTCTGCTGCTTTTCCAGGCCATTAACAAGGAGCTGGATCAGAAGTGGAGCAGCCGGGACCTGACCCAGTGTCCATATGGGTTGCTAATATCATGGGTAGTGGCTAAACCACTGTGCCATCGCACCAACCCTCCATATATCATCTTAACTGCTGTGAAAACTGTGTAAAATTCTCATACCTGATGCCCATTTTCCATTCCCACCAGCAAGCAATGCACAAGAATTCCAGTCTCTTTACCTTCCTGCCTTGCAGGAGCTCCTAGTTTAGTGAGGAAGTATGGCAAGGCCTCAGCTGACAAACCAAGGACTGTGAGAAGACACAGGTGCCCCCATATCTCCTTGGGAGGGGAACAGGGCAAGCTCCTTGGGGGAGCAGTGGCTTTGAAACCTGGCTAAGATTTTCCTAGGAGCCTCAGAGACCACCAGGGACAATGGTGGTCACAGCTTAGATCTTTCTGAGAGGCTTTGGAATTTTTTTTCACAAAGAGTCTACTCCTTCCAGCTCAGGGGTTTGTAGCTTCCGCTGGTTTCTGCACAGAGAGGACCTCCCCCGCATGCCATCAGGACTAAGATGGGCTCAGCCTCCTCTCCTGGGGCCCCAACTTGGCAAGAATACAATGTGGGATTCACTGAAAGGGCTCTTCCTCCTGCAGGGAGGCTTACGAGAACTGAAGATCCCATGCTGCGTGCAGCTCTCCTCCTGGGTGGGAAGGCTCATCACCTCTACACTCCATCCTTGTTAATCCTCAACGCTCATAGAGCGATGCCTGCACCAGGATCTGAACCACAGGAACAGTGTGGGCTGACCTCACCGGCCTTCTGCCTTAAGGGGGCAGGCGCTCTGCTAACTTGATGTTGTCTCGTGCATTTAGGGCCTGGGAGAGCGCTGAGTGCAGAGAGGGAGTGAGCATGTGGGAGGTGAGTTTGTGGAGGGTATCAGTTCTTGTGGGGATGTGTGGCTGAGGAGAGGCACGGCTGGCTGCTCAGAGGCGTGAGGCCACAGGGTTTGGAGACAGCAGAGTTATCTTCTCACGGATCCTGTCCCAGGAATGTTCCACCCGCAGCCTGTGGTGAGTCCGAGTTTCCTTGCTGCCCCACAGTCTCTGTGGGGTAGGGTCATGGATGTGAACTCCTGTGCTGAGGACACTTGTCCTCTGACAGATGGGCCCAGTGTCCTTCCCAGCCCCACCCAGACCCTCTCTGGGGGCTGCCCGTGGCCACCTGCCACACTGTGATGCTCAGCTGCCCCAGTTGGCCTTCCCCTATGTCCAGGCTGGCCTCCTGCTACCTTCCCCAGCCTGGGATCTTGGCCGCTAGAAGGGAAAGGGCTGTGGTTAGGAATCCAGTGGCAGAGCTGTGACTTTTTTTCCTTCCCACTGACTCATTTGCATTTTCTCGAAGTTTCTCTGCTGCTGTGGCTCTTTGGCAGCCCTCACTGTAGCTTCAGGGGACCATGCTCAGGCCCACACTCCTCTACTTGCTTCCTCTCTGCCTCTCAGTGTCTGCATCCTGGCAGGGTCCATTGGCATCCAACCACCAGCTCTGTGTGTCCCTGTTCAGGAAAGAGAAAGAAGACATGTGGGCCACTTCCTAAGTTCAAGTAGGTGGCTCCCCTCCAAGACTTAGGTAAAGGTGAGGGCCAAACTCTTTTTGAAGGGACGCTAAGAACTGAAGGGTTTGATCCAAAGAGAACAAGCAGAATGGTGCCTTTGCAGGGAGACCTTCTGCCCAGCCAGGTTCTCTGTGGGACAAAGCAGCTGTTATGAAGTCATAAAGGACACACATTCTGAAGCCAACTGGCACAGTGGGTTAAGCCACACCTTGTGATGCCAGCATCCTGGATTAGAGCACTGATTCTTGTCCTTCCTGCTCTGCTTCTGACCTAACTCCTTGCTGACTCCCCTGTGTGAGATGGTCCAAGTGCTTGTGGGGTCTCTTGCTAGCAGTGTGAGAGAGACCTGGATGGAGTTCCAGACTTCTGTCTTGAGTCTCCTGGTCCATAGTATGGAGGTGATAATACCAGGCGCGGAAGGCTGTTGAGAGAATTGAAAGGGAGTTAGAGCTGTCCGCACATTGGTGTGTATACAGGGCCTTGTAAGGGCAGGGTGTACAGTGTCCAGCACATGTGAATGCTGGTGATGGTTAATGTTTTGCCATGAGTGAGGGAGACTGCACTGTTCCTCTCTGTGTGGGTGGAGCCCGGATTAGATGCCAGCTGTCTTGGGGGCAGTGGAATGGCTGGGTTGACCTCTGGAGGACCCCTTGGTGCCAGGAAGGAAGCAGTCTGCACCCATGGCTCAGCACTTCGTTGGTGGGATTCTGCCCTGCATTCACCCCTCTGGTGAGCAGAGTGAGAGTACCTGCGCAGGGGCTAAGAGGAGGAGGAAGAGGACGGGGGAAGTAGGCCAGGCGCCTAGTGTACAAGTGTACTCCAGCAAGACGCTGGGGCTCACAGGAGCTCAGGGCTTCCCACAGGCTAGGGGTGGGTGGATTGGAGAGATGATGTTGGCCAAAGAGCTCAGAGCTTCGTGAAATAAGAAGAGTAAGGGTTTTTTTGGGAGGGGGCAACCAGCATATGTCTATAGTAATAATGTATAGTGTATTTTCAGAATTGCACAGTAAATTTCTAGTGTTCTCTCCACAAAGTATGATACATGTTGAAGGTGGCAGTTATGCTAACTGCTTGATGTGATCATTCATTGTGGTGTATGCATCTGAGCATGACATTGAACCCTATAAATGTATATAATTTTATTTTACTAAAAAAAAGTTTTAAAACGATTTATTTATTTATTGCAAAGTTAGATATACAGAGAGGAGGAGAGACAGAGAAAGATCTTCTGTCCATTGATTCACTCCCCAAATGGCCTCAATGGCCGGAGCTGAGCCAATCTGAAGTCAGGAGGCAGGAGCTTCTTCCAGGTCTCCCATGCGGGTACAGGGTTCTAAGGCTTTGGACTGTCTTTGACTGTTTTCCCAGGTCACAAGCAGGGAGCAAGATGGGAAGTGGGGCCACCTGGATTAGAACCAGCACCCATATATGATCCTGGTGCGTTCAAGGCGAGGACTTCAGCCATTATGCGATTGTGTCGGGCCCTTAATTAGGATCCTATGTGATTCATTCTCAGCTCTGTGACCCCTGGTGGTATCACCTTGGTGTTGCCTGCAACCTTCATGTGTGTTATGGCTGCAGCATGAGTGCCGGTGGTTAGATGAGAGCAGACTGAAGGAGCCTGAGGTGTTCCCTTGGGAAGCCTTGGGAAGAGACATCTTGTTGGACTTGGCACCCAGGCTGTATCCCCCAAAGTCTGCTGCCCCTTCCCTCCTTCCTCTGACTCAGGCTGCTTTTCCCAGGCCAGCCAGTCTCCTTGGCAAGCAAGTCCTCTTCAACATGGCCTCTTAATTCAGCCCTGGCAGTGGAGAAAGGTCAGCTGCGGGGCCGGCTCTCCAGTTACAGCCCAGATGGCCAGCTGCCTGTTTGTCTCACCTGCCCCCTGCATCAGCAGCTTTCTTCTGTGGACAGCAGGCAGCTCCGGGCCCGGCAGGACTGAGCAAGCAGGTGCTACACCCACTGACCCGTAATGGTGGAACCATGGGGTGATGACTTCTGTCATTCAAACTGGCCTGCCCTCTGCTCTGGTCCAGTGTTCTGCTGTATGGTCTGAGTGTCACCTGACCCCCACACACACCTGAATGGACACCTTATCCCTGTTTGTAGCATAGGCTGGGACCCTCCTTAGGGTGCATGTCACCCCTAGCCAGGGATGACTTCAAATGCAGGGACCTTCTTGTGGTGGTCTGATTTATGAGAACAGAAACTATGGTGGCTTCTCACAGTTTTTCACGATCCTGCGGACATAGGCTGGGCCCCTGGGGGATGCTCCGTACTACCTGTGAACTGGTTTAAGTAGTCATCAGTTGGCTGCACGTGGGGACCAGCCGGGTTTCTTGGTACTTGACCCGAAAGGCCCAGATGGGGACACTCAGCAGTTTGCTCCCATGGTCACTGCTGCCCACAGACAGAACAGCTCATAAAGCTCACCTCGTCTCTGCTTTCCCCCCTGCTAAGAAGCTGTGGTGTCTCTGTAGGGCGGAATGAGCTGATTGCCCGCTACATCAAGCTTCGAACAGGGAAGACCCGCACCAGGAAGCAGGTAGGCCTGGGGAGAAAGGTGTGGGTCCTGGGGACAAATGCTGAGGCCCCAGCTACCGGGGTGGGAGGGGGCAGGCACATTGTCACTGGGGCCAAGGGTGGGCGGTCAGCTCTGAGGAGTAATCTTTGGTGCATGTCTCCACTGCCATCTCTTAGAAGGCCCTGCACCTCTGGGGAATCGGTCCCCCTTTCCCAACCTTCTCCAGGTCAACAGACATATTGGCATTGGGTATTTGAAACACTGCCAAGCCCTGGGTTGGTGGGACAAAGCAGGGCTGAAGCCCCATCATGGGACCCACTGATTCCTTCATTGATTTCGTTTAGCCCATACACAGATGCGGGTTGAAGGGCCAAGGGTCAGGGCAGCCAGAAACATGGGCTATCTGGGAGGTCGGGACAGGAGCCCTCTCTCCCTGCTGCAGGTCTCCAGCCACATCCAGGTGCTGGCTCGTCGCAAAGCCCGTGAGATCCAGGCCAAGCTCAAGGTAAGGCTAGCTGCGGTGGTGGGTGGGTAGGGCCAGCTCCCTGGAGGTTGGTGCTCCTTGTATAACGGGAAGGGGTTCAGGGGCTGCCGGCCAGTGCGCTGACCAGCATGCCTCTTGCTGTTGAGGAAGGCCAAGTTCAGTCTGTGAGCTCGCTGCTGTCTGCCGTTTGACTGCTGGACCCTGAGTGTGACTGTCGGGCTCCAGACACAGTCCCTCTTCTGTGCCCCATCTCCTGGCTTCCACTCTGACGGGGCAACATGCCGTGAAACAGCCAGATCACCCTCCGGACCTGGGAGTGGCAGTTCTTTTCCCTCCTGGGTCCTCCTGGTCGTGCAGAGCCTCTTTTCACAGAGGATTCCCAGGGGTCAGGCCTCAAGGGTCCTCGTGTTGAGCACCAGGAGGGAGTGAGCTGTCCGTCCATCATGGGGTGTTCATGAGAGCCTCCAGAGACCCTCAGGAGGGAGACCTAACAGTTGCAGTCTTAGACTAGGCAGGAGTTGACAAAGCAACCCCTTTCGCTTTATTTGCTAAACAGAATATCACCCCCAGTTTGCTCACGGGGCAGCTGGCTTGGTAAGGAGATGGGCTTCTGTGCCCCATGGCATTTGCACCCCAGTCGTCTGAGGTCCTGACATTTGGGTCTCAAGCATGACTAGGTGGGAACCACAGACCTTTGTGTGTCCTGGGAAGCCGCACCCACTGGCCGCTCAGCTCCATTCCTGCCGTCTTCAGCCCAGCTGTCCCCTGTCATCCCCCCCCACCCCCCACGCTGTGATCTGTACCTCGCTCCTTTGTGCCTGGGACAGCTGGCTGGACCGCAGCTGTTGCTCCCTCCCTCCATCGGGCTGGCACATGGACCCCTAGAACACAGCTTGTCCCTCACGTCCCCTCTGTGGTCTGCCTCTCTCGCTCCCTGGGACCCCAGCAGGTGACCGAGAGGACACATTTCCCAGTGTTGTGTCCAAAGGGACATTTAATTCCCTTGGAGACCTGGCTGTATGGCCTGGATTCACGCCAGGGAGTCACACCTGTTCTCGTCCATGGGTCCTCTCCTGGGGCCTGAGGACGGCTCTCAGTGAGTGGATTGTTCAACAGGGCAGCAAGGGGCCTGAAAATGTGCAAACTGTCATGAATGTGTGTGCTTGGAGTCTGTCCAACTTGTAAGGGCTCTGGGTCCTGAAGTAACTAAGCTGGGGAATGTTTGGCAAGGTAAGGTAGAAATCCTCACGTTGTGATGTGGGGTTGTAGCTCTGGTCCTAACCTTGTGACCTTGAGTGCTAGGGCAGCACACAGACCTCGGGCTCCATTCAGTTTCCTTCTGTGAAGTGACAGGCTAAACAAGACCCTGTCTGCCCCATCCCTCTGCCCACACACCACCCCCTCCGCTGCCCCCAAAGCAACCCAGCTACAAAATTTGGCGACTCCCTGGCTCCGGTGCCCCTGATGTCACTGCCACTTCCTCCGGCCCCACCCGCCAAGGTCATGGCTTCCTGAATCAGTCATTTGTTTAGATTGGGAATCCGGGAAGGGCCATGGGGTTGCTGACACCAAGGGGTTGGAGCTCTCCGGCTTTCTGACGTGGCAGTTATTGGTTGCTATGGTCTGCAAGCTCTCCCTGGTTTTTGGAGGGCGAGGCCTGGTTGTGCACGTGTGCCTGGGTGGGCCACACCTCCTTGCCAGCTCCTTCTGCCTCTCAGGGGTGGCCTTACAGCCAGGTGCTGGGGGTACTGGGGAGGGGGCTGGGGACTTCCCTCTTCTGCTTTCCTGCTGTGTCTAGACAGAGCGGACCCCACAGTCTGTGCAGGCGCTGTCGGAGCCTCCTGGCTTCCCCCACTCTCTTGGTTTGCATGGCTCTTCTGGCCAGTCTGGCTGCATAGTGTAGCAGAGGGCATCACGTATTGAGACAGAGCAAGTGTGCTGATCCGGCCCCTCTCCCTCTTTCTCGTAAAGCACAGGTACCATCTCGGAGGAGGCGCCCCCCCCATTACAACCCTAACCACTTCCCACACAGGCTTAACCCCAAATACTAGCAACATAGGATTTAGGAATTAAGTCTTCAACACCGTAGTATGAGCAGGCTTGCTCATCACTGATTCACCCTGAAATTGGTCTTCTATCCCCATAGGACTCAAAGTGCTCGTGGGGCACAGACACAGTGTGGGCTGTTGCCTGCCACACGTGCCAGCCCACAGGCCCGGGAGAAGAGGCTGCCATGCTGCAGCCACATGTCAGAACACTGGGTGAGCACCCAGTCTCCTCTGAGTGTGGAAATTATCCTGTGTACTTGCTCAAGCGCTCCTGGTGTGCTCAGTGCCTCCTAGCTGCTGTATCACTCCAGGCAGATCCACCTAGTTAGCACACTTCTTTAACTTGGTTCCCTGTAATGTTTCCCACTTTCCCCCTTTGGAAAAGAGCATTTGTTCATTTGCAAAGCAAAGAGACAGAGCTTCACTCACATGCCTGGGGGCTGGAAACTCAGTGGAGGTCTGCTACAGAGCGCATGAGCAGGTTGCTGGAGTCAGGAGTGCAGCCAGGACTTAAACCCAGGCACTCCGTGACGTGGGCATCCCAAGTCATATTTTAACTGTTGCAGCGCATGCTCACCTTTCTGCCTCTGCTTTAATATTTTGTTTGAGAGACCAAGATAGAAAAAGAGAGCACATGCACTTATTTGCCAGTTTATTCCCCAGATACCTGCAACAGGCAGGGCCAATGCCAGAATCCAGGAACTCAATGTGTATTTCAGCTCCTGACCCATCACCCCCTGCCTTTCAGGGTCTGTGTCAGCAGGAAACTGGATTCAGGAATAGCATCGAACCCAGGCACTTTAATATGGGACATTGACATTTTAACTAATGGGCCATATGCCCACCCCTGCTATTAAGTATTATATGATGGTTCACTTATTTCCCCCATTAAACTGATTCATCCTAGAGGATTTCTAATCAGAGCGCCTAAGTTGACATAATCAAGCTGTTTAGTCCCAGTAAAGCTTCACATGCATACTTTGTTGCTCCAGTCTGTGCATGTGGTTTTATTTTGGTCAAAGCTCTAATTCCCATTAGGATTTTTGAAATAGGGGAAATACTGTCTCCTGAGCTTTGAAGACCTTCAGGGCTTGCCAGCTCAAGGTGGGAACCCCTGGCTTAATCAAAGGAACAAAAAGTCCTTGTTCTTATCACCCAGTGCCACATCGTGACTTTCCTAAGGACTTGGTAGTTCAGGGCCCAAGCTCCCAGGGAAGTCAGATAGTGACTGCTGTCATTCTGACCCAGGTCAGGGAGTTGCAGGCTGCCTTAGGCACAGGGGTCACCCACAGGGCTGGGGGCATCCAAAGGAGACAGGGCTTTTGCTCCAGCCTGCCTGTGTGTTCAGGAAGTGCTCCCTGTGGTCTGCCGGAGCAGGCATCTGGCAGCTCTTCCTGCACCAGGGACTGGGTGCTGAGCAGGCTCTCTGTGGCAGATAGGTAAACACGTAAAGACCCCTGTCTCCCTGTTGACATGAGAGTTTTGGTCTGGTCTTCCAAGTCACTTTAGAATCTGACAAAATAGACAGGGCAAGCATTGTGTTTGTTTGACAGGTGAAGAAACTGGTCAGGAAAACCAGGTGACTTGCTCAGAGTCAGAGAAACTGAATAGCATGACCTGACTTGAACCCAGGGTCTCTGAGGCTGGGTCCTCCCCCTCTCCACTCTGACTCCCCCAGCAGCCTGACAGGGGACCCATGCTGAGGCCCTCCCTTCCAATGTCTCCCCCAGGATCAGGCAGCTAAGGACAAGGCCCTGCAGAGCATGGCTACCATGTCGTCCGCCCAGATCATCTCGGCCACAGCCTTCCACAATAAAGTGGCCCTTTCCCGGGGCCCGGGCTATCCAGCAGTCTCAGGGGTAAGTGAGGCTGCTCTGAGCCAAGGAACCACACCAGACCTGGCCTTCTCTCTCCTACCCCGTTAGCAGAGAGCCAGGAGTGTCTCTATCCATCTCCATGGGGTAGGAGAGCCAGGGGCAAGAAGGCATAAGGATCCAGGGACCAAAGTGGCCGCAATGGCCAGAGCTAAGCCAATCTACAGCTAGGATCCAGGAGCTCTTTCTGGATTTCTCATGTAGGTGCAGGGTCTCAAGCATTGGGGCCATCCTCTGTTGCTTTCCTAGGTAAGTTAGCAGGGAGCTGGATTGGAAGTAGAGCAGCCAGGACTTGAAGCAGTGCGCAAAGGGAATGCCAGCGCTGCAGGCATCAGCTTCATCCATTCCATCACAATGCCAGCCCTAAATGGGTCTTCAAATGAACCAAGCCAGCAGCACTGTTCCAGGTCTGTGGGGAACAGATCTTGTGCTCTGTGGCTTTATCTCTTACCACACTGCCCTAAGTGCATTCTAGCAGTGCCAGTTCTAGACGATGTAGCATAAGCTGCTGCAACCAATAAGCGTCTCTGGGATCCTTGATCCTAAGAGTCAGCACAGCCTGGAGCGTCCTTCTCCATTGTGAACTTAGGGAGGTGGGATGTAGCATGCAATAACTCCGAACCAGCTGTTCTTCCTGGCAGCCTTCTAGAGCCTAGAGTTCTTCCTCCCTACCCCCCCCCCGCCGCCACCCTGCAACCACCAAAACATGTTTGGGGAGTCTGCTGGAGCCTGTTGGCGTTAACTAAACAAGGACATTCGCTTTCCTCCCTAGCTCCCGCTGGTTCAAACACACAGCCTCACTCCCAGCCCAGGCCCTTGCTCTGTCTCCACCATGTGCACACTTCCCACGTGTGCTCAGTGCTCTGCTGACTCTGCACTTTTTATCCTCCCCCAGTTTTGGCAGGGAGCTTTGCCAGGCCAAGCCGGAACGTCCCATGAGTAAGTATTGCCTGCCATCTGCTACAAGCCGCTCTCCAAACTGACCTTGAACCCATAAACTTGGAACCTGGCTTCCTAGGTGGGAAGGAGCCACTGTCTGGAGTCAGCCTTTCCAGACAGCATTAGAACCCAGGGACTGACTGGCCTTCCTGCTCTCGGGCAACACATGGCTTAGCTACAAAGTCCAGAGCCTGGGGTGGCATTTATTGAAACCTCAGGCTGCCCAGGGTGTGGGCAGGGCCAGAGCTTGGAGTCAAAGAGGGAAGGAGGGCCAGAAGTCAGAGCCGTGGCCCAGGAGGGAGGGAAAGCAGGAAGGCTGGCTTTCCTGACAGATGTACTGCTTCTGCAGATCAGGGAGTTGGCTGGGAGGATGGGGGAGGCCAAAGCCCAGCAAGGCCACTGGCGGCCGGACCACCACGGCCAATCGCACTGAGGGTGGCTCCGGGGCAACTGGCTGACCACAGCTAACTTCCTCCTCCTCTCTCCACAGTGTGAAACCCTTCTCTCAACAGCCCTACCCTGTCCAGCCTTCACTAACTCTGCCAGGTGGGTGGGCAGTGCATGGTTGCTCCCTTCCACATCACACCCCTGTACCTCCTGTCTCGGGTCCCAGGCTCCTCAACAGCTTAGCCATCTGCATGTCCCTCTTAGATGCTGCCTTGTTGTGAGACCAGACGTCTCAGACTCCCAGGATACCCCATTCCATGTCCTTAGCATGCTCTCCTGTGTGCCTTGCGTGGCCTTGAACACTGTTCTGTTCCCCAGCAGCCCTAGTAATTGGCAGGGGGGTTACTTGTTGAAGTGCAATGCCTGTGTCCTGACCTATGACCTGCCTGTGTGCCTCATGTACCTTAGCTCTTGGGATGACCCCCTCTTAGTACCCACTCTTATCCACTCTTCTGAAATGGGTGGCCCCCAGAGTGGCCAGCTTTCTGGCTGAGAACACTCTTGGCAGAGAGGAGGAGTAGAGGAGGCCTGGCACATGATTGGGGCCAGTGCACAGAGTCGGCCAGCTGGGCAGGTGCAGGGTCCCTCTTTTTGCTGTGGGTGACCTGGTCGTGTCCTGGGTGGCCTGTTTCAATTTTAGTGTATGTGCTGCTGAAGTGAGCACATCCAGGTCTGTTTCTCATGAGGTTCCCAGGCCACCTTCCACCATATAGGACAGGTGGGATCCTCTCCCTGGCTTGGGTCTGACCCCTGCAGCCCTGCTATCTGCCCAAGTCCCTCATTGCTACTTCCTGTCATCTCCCCATGGGAGCAAGTCACTGAGTTGGGTCTAGTCTGCCCTATCTCGTCCCTCTTCACCTCTCGCTGTGCGCTGATGCACTCGGCCCTCCTAGTGCCTGCCCAGAGGGGCGGCAGCAGCCTCTTCTGCCTCCCTGGCTCTCTCATCACTTTGTGGTTCTCCAAAACCTCCATCTTGCTGTGTTGTTTGCCAGCTTGCAGTGCTTTGGGGGCTGCCTGGTACTTTCAGGGTCCCTCTCTCTGCAGGAGGACTTGTCTGGGTGCCCCGACTTTCTCTGCTCCCTCCAATCTTTCTGGGTTCCACTTCTTACCTGCCTCCAGGCCACAGTTTGTGTTGCCTACCTACCTGCACTCCGTGCATACACCCCCCTCCACACACACACACACACCTGCTGCAGGCTTGCCTTTGTCTCAAACTGCTCATGCCTGGAGCCGATTGTGCATCATCTCTATGCGCGGTACATAGCGGTTCCACAGTAAGCAGCGGTTCAACAAATGAATGAATGAATGACTCGGCAAATGCACTGAGCACCAGCTGCTATGTCCAACAACACCCTCTGCCCAGCCAGCCCTTCTCTGTCTCCCCTACATGCTCTTGAGTTGTGTGCTGCTGCACAGGGCACCACCGTTCCCCGGATTTCTCCTATAGGAAAATGGGCCACCATCACTTCCATTCACATCTTTTCCTTTGACCCCTTCTTGTCACTCCTCAACTTTTCATTTTGAAAACCACCAGGGACCATGCTCCATTCTCATGTGCCCAAACCTCGGCCCAGAGCTGAGTCTTTCCTCTTTAGGCCCTGCAGTCACTTTCCCGAGTCTCAGGATCAAATCCATCCTTTGGGCGTGACACACAGCTGTCTGTTCAGCCTTATTCCTGCCCCTTTCTCCAGTCCTACCAGGTCATGCGTTTCTAGCTATCTTCCAGCCCTGCAAACTTGCCTCTGCTTGCAGTGCCCATTCCCAGTCTTCATGCTCCTCACTCACTTGTAACTTACGGCTCCTTACAAGCCACCCCTTCTGAGAGCCTGTGCCTGCATGGACTACAAGTAGCTCAGAGAGGAGCCTAACCTAGTCGCTGTGCCCCTTATCACCCAATCCCTCTGCCAGATGCAGTCTCCCTGGAATGTAGTTCCGTGCAGAGACCTGGGTTCCATCAGCTCTGTCCCTCCCCTGCCAGGCATGCCCATGCGCAACATTGCTTCTACCACCCTGCCTAGGATGGAAATTCCCCTGGCCTGCAAGACTCTGCAGGGCAAGGGGGCCCTGGGTTGACACAGAAGGGGTGGGCAGGGAGGGCACCTGTTGACAGATTCCATATGCTCCTCCCTCTGTGTGCAGGGTTTGAGTCTCCTGCAGGACCCACGCCGTCGCCCTCAGCGCCGTCCGCACCCCCGTGGCAGGGCCGCACCGTGGCCAGCTCCAAGCTGTGGATGTTGGAGTTCTCAGCCTTCCTGGAGCAGCGGCAGGATGCGGACACGGTAGCTCCTCACACTCTGGAAGCACCTGCTCCCACAACGCCTCCTATTCCTCTTCCTATTCCTATTCCTCTTCCTCCTCCTCTTCTGCCCCAGCCCACTTTGGGCTCTCATCGAGGTTCCCTGCTCTCTCCCAAACCTGTGGACCCTTCTGCCTCTCCCTTCCTCTTCCCATGCCTCTTCATTGTCCCTCTTGCCCTTGAGGCTCTGTCCCCATCCCACCTACCCACCCTGCCCTCAGCCCACAGACACCATTATTGCCCTTGCACACTGGCCCATCCTTTCCCTACTCTTGAGGGGGCAGACAGGAAGCCAAGAAGCCTTCCGTGTCTGGTCTGCATCCTGTGGGCTTGTCCGCCTCTGCTGACCTGGGTGACCTGCAGCACCTACCAAGGTCAGAGGAGTGCCAGGAAGAAGCTGCCTAGCAGCGGGCACAGACCAACACACTCCAGCATCTTTCAACTTTCACCAATGTGAGGGAGAGAGAACGTTCCCACCTGCTGGTTCACTCCTCAAATGCTTTCCCAGTAGCTAAGGCTGGACCAGGCTGAAGCTGGGAGCCAGGAACTCCATCTGGGTCTCTCCCACGTTGGTGGCAGGAAGCTGGATGGGAAGTAGAGCTGGGACTGGAGATCAGGCAGCACAGTGTGGGGTGTGCAAGTGGCAGCTATTAACCACTGTGTTAAACACCCATCCCCAGATGTACATTTTAGCCAAAGAGTCCATCAATCAGACAAGCTGTCACTCAATATAGTGAAAAGGAGACCTTGCTGTCTGCTTTACCAGTGGGGAAACTAGGGCCCGGGAGGTGGGTGTGCTCCAGCCCCAAGCTCCTTTGGGGTCTGCCTTTTGGCTTCCCTCGGCTCCCTCAGCCCACTATCCTCTCCACAGTACAACAAGCACCTGTTCGTGCACATCGGCCAGTCAAGCCCGAGCTACAGTGACCCCTACCTCGAAGCCGTGGACATCCGCCAGATCTACGACAAATTCCCAGAGAAGAAGGGAGGCCTCAAGGAGCTCTTTGAACGGGGACCCTCCAATGCCTTTTTCCTGGTGAAGTTCTGGGTAAGACCTTGGATAACCTGTCCCATCCTACTCTCGGGGCATCTGTGACTGGGACAGCAGGAGAATAGTAGGCCTTGCCATAGGGAGGGCCTGGGAACGGGGAGAGGAGCTGGTACAGAATGGCCCTCAGTGGTGGAAGCTGCTGGACTACTGGGGGGACCTTTGCTGCTGGGTAAGGACGTTACCAAGCATAGGCAGGAGAGGGGCTTTAAGGAAAAGGATGTGCAGGAGATGCTGAGATAGACAAAGCTGGTCCCAGAAAGCTCCTCTCCAAGGAATGAAGTTAGGACAGACCACCCAGCCAACACCCCTGTCTTACAGGTGCTCATTTTTGTGCTCTGCCTGCTCTCCTGGCAGAGTGCAAGTTGGACCGCGGGTAGGCATTTAGGGAATGGAGCTAGTATGTGGAAGAGCTCCGTGCTGCTGTACTGTTCAAATGAGCAAATTAATCAATACATAGATTAATGGCAGTGTCTCTGCCAAACCTTCTATTGAAATTTTTGACAGCGAAATTTTAGTTGTTTCCAAGAGCCCCTTCATGCTCTTTGATTCCATCCTGACATTATTTGATGGTTAGTATTTTTCTTTAGTCTTTCTTAAGGATACGAAATGAGAACCAAGTTTTATGTTCTTTCTTAAGTAGGATTGATTTATTTAAAGAATCATTTATTAATTGAAAGACAGAACATCAAAGTGAGAGAATCTAGGACCCGGCGTGATAGCCTAGTGGCTAAAGGCCTCACCTTGCACGCACCGGGATCCCATATGGGCGCTGGTTCTAATCCTGGCAGCCGCACTTCCCATCCAGCTCCCTGCTTGTGTCCTGGGAAAGCAGTCGAGGACAGCCCAAAGCCTTGGGACCCTGCACTTACATGGGAGACCCAGAAGACGCTCCAAGCTCCTGGCTTTAGACTGGCCCAGCTCTGGCCATTGAGGCCATTTGGGGAGTAAACAGCGGATGGAAGATGTTTGTTTCTCTCTCTCTTTGGAACTCTGACTTTCAAGTTAAATAGATAATAAATCTTTGAAGAGAGAGAGAAGCCCCCTGTGCTGGAGTCCAGGCCAGAGTGGGTGCTTCCTCAGGACCCCAGCCAGGCGCTTGGCATCAGGACGTGATGGATGGGACAGGATGTTAGCCTGCGGGCTTTTAGGAAGGACTTCAACCATCCGACTTCCGCTTTGCTTCGCCTGCCTCCAACCCTCACTTCCCTTCCTGCCCTGGGCATGGGGGTGGCAGCCCAAGTTGGCTCTGCTGAGGTGATCACTGGCATGACCAGGCCCTGCTCCAAGTGGAAGGCCACACCTGCCCTGGAGCTCGCTCCTCCCCATTAGCCTCCGCGGGCTTCACCTGCTCTCAGCAGGTGCCTCTGGGAGAGACCAGTTGGGGTTTACCTGCAGCCCCGGCTCAGCCAATCTGGTCACACGGGAGAGACTGGTAGGCAGTGGCAGGAAGTGCTTGCCCTGGAGGGACAGAGGACGTATTTGGGGCCCCTTTTCAGTATTTCCGCCTTAATATGGTGGTTAGTCATATTCGATATTCTCTTAGATACCTTCTTCGTTTCCACCCTAGTCCAGGCATGGAGTCAGCAAGGGCCTGCCTCTGAGTAAGCCTCTTGCCAGTGGTCATCCCTGCCCTGCTGTACCTGCTGGGAGGTGGCCCAGGGGAAAGCAAAGCACAGGCTGGCTGGACAGCTGGCTGCAGGTGAGCAGGGCCAGCCCCAGCAGCTGGACGCAGAGTGTGTGCTTAGAACCGTCACAGGAAACTAGCCTGTGTGGCAGAGCGTCTGGGAATCATCCATCAAGCGACCCCCGCCCCAACTCCCTTCAGGCTCCTGGAGTCTGGGTGGTCTCCCGTCATGGAGAGAGGTAGCGTGGAGGGCAGGCATGGTTCTGCCATCAAGGCAGATGGGCTGGCTTTTTTGCATTTTCTAAGCCCCAACCTTTTCCTTCTAGAAAATGGGGGCATTATCTCACCCCTTGGGATGAGGTCACAGAATCTCAGGATCCTGGGGCAAGAATCGGCCTGCTGGGCCTTCCAGGAGGCCCCACCCCCGGGTCTGGAGCTGAAAAGTCAGCTTTAGTCAGCTTGGTCTCGAGGGGTTGGCAGCGAAGGGGGAACGCTCTGGCAGTGTGGGTGGGTAAGGGCAGGTGGAATCAGAGCCCAGGGCATGTCTGTGGCCGGGACACATTGGCAACTGGCCGGTGTGTCTTTCTAGTGCCTGGTTTGTTGTGGGGAGAACAGGAACCTGGAGAAGACAGAGATGAGTGATGGGGTTTGTGCAAGCCGGCAGACTTTGGGTCAGTTCTGGGCCTTCGCAGATGGCTGAGGCTTGGTTGGGCTCGACAGGCATCTGAACCCACTCAGGCCTGGTTGCGCCTATCCCTGCCATTAGCTGGTGTGAACTTGGCCACACACAAGTAGGAAGGAAAACTGTTCTGGCCAGGAAACGGTGCTTTTCCTGGCTGGCTGTTTTCTCAGCCCCAGCTCCCCCACGGGCCATAGGATAGCAGGAGAGGAGGGGGAGGGGGATGTTGAGGTCCCCTCCTGCCCTGGAGTTCTTGCTGGCGGGATTGGGACAAGCTTCCGGCAATGGCTTCTGCCTGCAGGAAGGGTGTCCTTGCTCTGGGGGGCTCAGAGAAGGCGGAGCAGAGCCCAGGACTGCATTGCAGCCTTCCTCCAGAGCTGGCCCTGACACTTCTCCCAGGCACATGACAACACACCCAAGCCCCCTCCGAGCCCCCACAGCCGGGGCTGCGGCTGTCTCGGCTCATCTGTCAGTCACCAGATCCCCCACACCTGTTTCAGGCACCGCCTGTGAGCCGCCCACCCACACGCACAGCTATGAATAGGGTGCGCCAGGAGGGGAGGGGAGGGGAGCAAGGGGCCCAGGGGCCCACAGAGGGCAGGCGGTGGGGGTGGAGGGATGCGAGGCCTGAGTCACTCTGGGTGGGTTGTCAGGTCAGCTTCTTCTAGAAGTATGCGGTATAGCCTAGGGCAGGTTCTTGGATTAACTTTGACCTCTCCCTCCCTCCCTCTTATTTCCTTTTCCTTCCCTCCTCCCTTCACTGGAACACCTCCTCCCCTTTAGGGGTCCCCACCGCCCCTAGCTAAGCTGGGCTAGGGCTGGATAAACAGTGACTGAGAGATCTGTCTGAGGGCCAAGTGAAGGGGAGGTGATGACAGAAAACAGAGTGGTGGAGTTTGGGGCCCCAGCTGCCTGCCATGTGAGGCCTCCTGGGGCAAGTGGGTTCCTGCCTTGTGACCCAGGGTGTGTGCCCCTCACACCAGCGCCACCCAGAGTTGAGAGGCTGATTAGCTGGGTGCAACATTTAAAACTTTTTTGTGTGTGTGGTATTTGCTGAACTACTTTTTTCCTCCTAAGATTTATTAAAGGAAGGGTGATAGAGATAAGGACAGAGATAGATCTTCCATGCTCTGAGTCGCTTTCCTAATGACCACAGTGTCCTGACCAAAGCCAGGAGGTTAAAACTCCGCTCGGATCTCCCACATGGGTGGCAGGGGCCCAAGTACTTGGTTCATCTTCTGCTACTTTTCCAGGCACATTAGCAGGAAATTGGATTGGAAGCGAGGTAGCCAGGACTCACATCCACTCTCTAGTATGGCAGCCTGCACTGAAGGCAGCAGCTTACCCTACCGAGCCACCCCACCAGCCCTGAGTCTAGTTCTCACCCCCAGGGGACGTCCCATTGAGAAGGGGGCAGAAGCAGCTGCTGCCTTGTTGAGCCTGGGAGGTGTGCGTGGCTGACCTGTCATGGTGCAGGATAACTAGCAGTTAAATCATTATTCCCATATAATGTGAAACAATATATATGGAAATAATATAAATGTTACATATATATATATCAGAAAAAAGAGAGCCCTTAGTTTCATGGATGTGTTGTTTAGAATGGACTTCAGAATCATTAAGGACACGACAGGGAGAGGTGGCAGAGAGTACAGGGGCCTGGCACTAACCAAGGGTCGCCAGGGGCCACAGGCTGTGAGTCCAACCCCATGTCCAACACTGGCCCTTCCAGGTGGCTGGACTTCCTGCTGTCTTTTTTTTTTTTTCCAGGTATAGGTTACAGAGTGACCAAGGGGGTGAAAAGATCTCTGTCTGTCCCTCTCGGTCACTCTGCTTTTCACCTAGATAAAATAATTCTTTTAAAATCATCGTTAAAACTGTATTAGAGGGGGCCCGGCGCGGTGGCGCAAGTGGTTAAGTCCTCGCCTTGCACGCCCGGGATCCCATATGGGCGCCGGTTCTAATCCCGGCAGCCCCGCTTCCCTTCCAGCTCCCTGCCTGTGGCCTGGGAAAGCAGTTGAGGACGGCCCAAAGCTTTGGGACCCTGCACCCGCGTGGGAGACCCTGAAGAGGCTCCTGGCTTCGGATCGGCATAGTATCGGCCCGTTGCGCTCACTTGGGGAGTGAATCATCGGACGGAAGATCTTCCTCTCTGTTTCTCCTCTGTGTATATCCGCCTTTCCAATGAAAAATAATAAAAATAAATCTTTAAATAATAAAAAAAAAAAAAACTGTATTAGAGGGCCCGGCATGGTAGCTTAGCGGCTGGAGTCCTCATCTTGCATGCACCGGGATCCCACATGGGCACCAGTTCTAATCCCATCAGCCCTGCTTCCTGTCCAGTTCCCTGCCTGTGGCCTGGGAAAGCAGTCAAAGATGGCCCTTGCACCCACGTGGGGGACCCAGAAAAAACTCCTGGCTCCTGGCTTTGGATCAGCTCAGCTGCAGCTGTTGCAGCCACTTGGGAAGTGAACCAGCAGACGGAAGATCTCTTTCTCTGTCTCTCTTCCTCTCTGTAAATCTGTCTTTCCAATAAAAATAAAATGAATCTTTTAAAAAATAAAACAAATTAAAAAAAAAAAAACAACATTATCAGAGAACTCCCATTTAAGGCTTGGCTAGCACCAGGTGGCTGGACTAGGCCAGGGCTCAGAGCCAGGGACTCAGTCCAGGTCTACCCCCGTGGGTGACAGAGCCCTGAGTAGTTGAGCCATCACCTCTGCCTCCCAAGATCCCCTTTGGCAGGTAGCTGGAGTCAGGAGCTGGGAGTTGAACCCAGGTACGTGTGTCTGGTTCTGAGCCACTCTGCCAGCACGCACAGGTGCCCTGGCCCCGGTGGGGTCAGCGTGCCAGCACGCACAGGTGCCCTGGCCCTGGTGGGGTCAGCGTGCCAGCATGCACAGGTGCCCTGGCCCTGGTGGGGTCAGCGTGGAGGTGGCAGTGGAGGTGGCAGAGGAGGCTGTTCCAGGCACAGTGCTACTTTGTTTCACAATGTCAGCCCTGCTCCCTGACTGCTGTCATTCTTTGCCTTCTTTCTTCCTGGTGTGGCCTCCTTAAGGCCAGCAAGGAACACTCTGTGCTGTCTGTTTCTACAGGAAAAGAGCGTTTTTTTTTTTTTTTTTTTTTTTTTCTCTCTCTCTTCGTGAGATGTCTTCATCCTGTTCTGGAACCTGCTTTAGTTGCTAGCCCTGTCGGTAGTCAGAGTAGTGGATTCAGCTTTGGCTCTTGAACTTTCCCATAAGGCAGAGGAAATAGCTGAGCGCCCCCTAGTGCTCATACAAAGAATTGTTAGGGGTCTGGGATTTCCAGTGTCTCTGCCCGGAACGCGGTGTCCAACCGTAGTCAGGCCGGAGATTGGCTACGTTCATGGACTGTGCTCGGTTCATGGACTGTGCTCGTGTGGGCTGGGGGCAGATTCCTGCCCCCTACGAATAGGTCTTTTTCATCGACTTGTGTGTTTCCTTGGCTCAGTGTATGTGTGGGGAACCTGCCTTCTGGGGACCCTTGAGTGGTCTGGGGTGGTCTCAGCATCCCCTGCTGGAGGCAATAACGGAGCTGTTGGCTTGGGGTGTGTCACTTGTGGGCAGAGAGGGGACCTACCAGGGGAGTCAGGAGAGCGAATGCTACCATTGGAGTCGAATCCAGAAGCTGAGACAGAAACAGAAGAATAAGGGTGAGGTCTGGCTAGCCCAGTGGCTAAGGTGCAGTGGACCGCTGGGGTTGGATTTCCAGCTCTGGTTCCTGGCTGCAACTTTGTACCTGTGTGGGAGGCAGCTCATGATGCAGGGTCCCAAGGCTTTTGGCCATCCTCTGCTGTTTTCCCAGACTACAAGCAGGAAGCTGAGTCAGAAACAGAGCAGCTGGAACCTATGCCGATCTAGGAAGCTGGCACCTCAGGGTGGAGGATTAGGCTGTTGAGCCATGGCACTGGTCCCTGATGTACTTAAATATTTGCAGTTTAAGGCCCAGCACGGTGGCCTAGCAGCTAAAGTCCTCACCTTAAATGCACCAGAATCCCATATGGGCGCCAGTTCTAATCCTGGCGGCCCCGCTTCCCATCCAGCTCCCTGCATGTGGCCTGGGAAAGCAGTTGAGGATGGCCCAAAGCTTTGGGACCCTGCACCTGTGTGGGAGACCCGGAAGAGCTCCTGGCTCCTGGCTTCGGATCTGCTCAGCACCGGCCGTTGCGGTCACTTGGGGAGTGAATCATCGGACGGAAGATCCTTCCTCTCTGTCTCGCCTCCTCTCTGTATATGCCTGACTTTGCAATAAAAATAAATAAATCTTAAAAAAAAAACACCATTTCCCCCACCTGCTGGTCTACTCGTATCTGAGCAGGTAGAATACCTCTCTTTTAATGTGGTTTGGGCAATGCCCTGTGATATTATTACCCCATCTGGACCTGGGTAAAACATTTCTGGTTTCTTCACACACACACACACACACACACACACACACACATCCACCAGGAACTTGCAGGGTGACCCCGGGGGTCGGTCCCATGGCCCCCATCCCTCTGCTGACGCTCTGTCGTCAGAACTGACCTCTGGTTTGGCTTGCCCGTGTTCCTCTCCAGGCAGACCTCAACACCAACCTCGAGGACGAAGGCAGCTCCTTCTACGGGGTCTCCAGCCAGTACGAGAGCCCCGAGAACATGATTATCACCTGCTCCACCAAGGTCTGCTCTTTCGGCAAGCAGGTGGTGGAGAAGGTCGAGGTAGGAGTCCGCCGCCCAAGGGGGCTGGGGGAGGCGGAAGTTGGGATGAAATCCTCCATTTATCCAAACTGGGGGCGGGTTGTCCTTGCTGTTACTTACTGTCTTAACAGGCAGCAAGGGGACAAACGGGCTCTAACCCCATGCGGCCTGTGACCCTGTGCACCCAGCTGGCTTGCTCGGCCCGCCCTGCCCTCTCCTTCTCGCCTGAATGGAGGCAGTCAGTCTTTCTGGGTGACCCCGGCTCTCTGTGTGCACCCGCCCACTGTCAGACACAACTGCATGCCAGCCGAACTCCCGGCTGAGTTCCTAGGAAGGGGCTTCTTCCTTCCCCGGGGAGCTGACCCTGACACCATCCCCCCTCACTTCTCTCCGTCCCCAGGGTGGACTCCATGTAATAGACTCTACTTACAAGGGCACTTTAAAAAACTCTCGGGGCCCAGCGCAGTAGCATAGCAGCTAAAGTCCTCGCCTTAAACACTCCGGGATCCCATATGGGTACAGTTTCTAATCTCAGCAGCCCCACTTCCCGCTTCCCATGCAGCTTCTTGCTTGTGGCCTGGGATAAAAGATTGCACATTTGGGGGGAAAAAACACCTATATATAGTTTTAACAACATGACCTTTTAAAAAATGATTTTGATGACATTGCAGAGGAGGAGACAGATCTGCATCTACTGGTTCGCTGGCCAGACCGTCGGGGTTTAGCCATGCTGAAGCCAGCAGCTTCTTCCAAGGGGTCAAACACTTGTCACTAGCAGGAGGCCAGATTGAAAGTGGAGCAGCCGGGACCCGAACCAGTGCTGGTGTGAAAGGCAGACCTTGCAGGCAGGGGCTTAATGTGTCCAAAATCCTTGTGGAGCCACGAGTAGTCATCCTCATGACGCAGCTGCAGCACACTGGAGTGTAGTGTTGGCAGTCAGAAGGTTGGCGGTGAGGCAACCTACCAGTCAGATTCAGATGTCACCGGTGTGTATGCGCAGGTGTGTGTGCGCGTCCCACCAGAGTCCACAGGAATCGCAGGTGTCATCCTAGTGTGTGGCCAGGGCTGCAAGGCCTCTGTCCCGTTGCCGTCTGTGGCAGCCAGCCCATGTCCCTTTCCAGTCCCTGGCATCTTGCCTGTCACCACAGAGGAGAGAGTTCTGTTAGACACGCACCCACTCTGCCTGGGAAGGCAGCCTCCTCCTCCTTAGCAGGTTGTGGAGCGTCTCGGTGGAGTCGGAGCTGGACAGAGGGAGGAAGGGGTCCTGAGGTCCTGCTGTCCTCCCTGGCTTGCCCCTGCAGACGGAGTACGCCCACTACGAGAACGGCCACTACTCGTACCGCATCCACCGCTCGCCGCTCTGTGAGTACATGATCAACTTCATCCACAAGCTCAAGCACCTGCCCGAGAAGCACATGATGAACAGCGTGCTGGAGAACTTCACCATCCTGCAGGTGCGTGGGGCGCCGCGGGGGCCGGCCGGGGGCCAGGGGGCCGATCTGTGCCTCAGCTGTGTCTCGCCTGCAGGTGGTCACCAACAGGGACACGCAGGAGACCCTGCTGTGCATCGCCTACGTCTTCGAGGTGTCGGCCAGCGAGCATGGGGCCCAACACCATATCTACCGGCTGGTGAAAGAATGAGACTTGGGGAACAGGGCGCGTGGTGGCGGGGAGGGCCCCTGCACGGACAGCCTCCCGAAGTGCTAAGGGAAATTGGAACCGCCCCGACCGGTGACTCTTCTTGCCCCAGCCACAAACTGTGCCTCAGCCTGCAGTGCCCAACCCCCAATAAATCCACAGTCTTGTGTATTTTCAGAGGAACTGGTCTGGCCTGCATGAGCCTTGGGAGGGACTTGGGGCAGACCGGAAGTGGCCCCCAGAGATGCCCCTACCCTGGGCACTTCTGAAGCCAGCGCTGCCAGTGGATTCAGCCAGGGACATGGCCCAATGCCGAAGCTCCTGTGGGATGGCTGCTCTGCTGCCCACCAGCCCCTGTCCTGGTGTTGCCAGCCACACTGGGAGGCCCCTGAAGATGGAGCCATGCATGCACAGGCCGTGTGCCCACAGCCTCGTGTGCATGAAGGCATCCGTGCCCCATGGGCGACGCTTGTTGGAAGGGAGCAAGGTCAGAGCACGCTGGGTGGTTTCTATTCCATCTCCACTGGGCTTCCTTCGCTGCCAGCCCCACAGCCATGGCTAGAGGTGGGAGGTGTGGTCTCATGTACCCCCAGCCCCAGGTGTGCCAAGGGGGGCAGAGGAGGAAGCTGACTGCTGACACTGGCTGGCTTTGTGTTTTGCTGAGCACACCCTCCCCACCCTTAGTGGGCCGGAGCTGGCTCACTGCCGCCCCCTGCTGGCTCTAGTATTCTCTGCCAGTACCAGAGCTAAACAGAAATTTAAGCCACAGGCCATGTAGGGGGTGTTCTGTGCCTCAAGATATATGTGATGGGAATATGAAAATGAATATATATTTTTTTTTAGTAAGTCAGCACTGGGGAGGTATTTTCACCAAGTGGGAGTAAGGGCTCTCAGAGCCAGACCAGCTACCGACAAGCTGTGTGATCTTGGGAGATGTTAACTTATTTTCACCATGCCTCAGTTTCCCCATCTGGAAAAAACAGGCCTCTTTATCAAAACCTACCTCGTGTGTGTGTCTCTGTGTGTGTGTGTGTGTGTGTGTGCGCGCGCGTGCGCGGTGGCCAGTGTTCTGCCAAGCGCATGTTCATGCTGGGTTGTTAGATACTGGTCCAACAACCAGCGGGGATTTGCTAACTAGTCGATCCGAGTGGACAGTTGCTACATGGGAATGAGCCGAGCTTTGATGCAGTTATGCGTGCATGGATGGGAGTGACGGGATGGGGAGTGGTGGTGGTGGGAGGCGAGCTGTCAGTGTGCTTCCATCAGAAGGAGGCTGAGGAGGGTCACGGCATGCCTGCATCCCGGGCCGCTCAGCGTGCCGGTTCCAGCTCGCTGCTCATGCACACCCTGGGAGGCAGCAGGTCATGGCTCAAGGACTTAGGTCCCCGCCACCCACATGAAAGACCTGGTTAGAGATCCAGGCTCCCAGCTATCTGTCCCAGCTCTGTTAGTGCAGCCATTTGCAGAATGAACCAGGGGGTGGGAGTTTTTTTTTAAATGACAGGCTGTGGGCTCCAAGGAGCCTAGGCTGAGTTCCTGGGCAGGCAGCAGGCATTCATTTGTCTTAGGTGGGCTTCAGAAGGATCCTGACACCCCCCTGGCACCATCATGGCCCCTGTGAGCTGTGCCTACCCTTCTCACACTGACTGGCATACACGGATGAACAGCCTGACCTCACAGGGAGAGGCCTGTTGGCCACGGTCAAGTGCACCAAGTCAGGAGATGGCCCTTGTGTGCAGTGTGTGGGTGGAGGCAGTGCAAGTGTGAACTGAGAACCCCAGCGGCCTAACCTTAGAGTACAATGCCAAGGTCAGCCGCAGCAGGTGGCAGCCTTGGCTACCTCATCCCTGGGGGCCAACGGAAGCTGGGACCTGACTAGTCTCTGTGCCACCCTGACCTGCTGGCTTTGGCACGTCCTCCCTACTGTGGTTGCTGGCGCTGCAGGATCCCCAGCCAGGAGTGACCTCCCACGGGCCATCTGTGACGCATTCTTCAAGGGCCAGCGCGGAATGCGGAAGGGTTAGGCCTCCCACATGTCGGCCGCATTCCTGTTGGACCTCGCCTGCAGCGGCCGGCCTCACAGCCCAGGTCCCCTGCCAGCTGCATTTTTTTATTTTGTGTTGTTGTTGTTGTTTTAAATATTTATTTTTATATTTATCGAAAAAAGCAGATTTACAGAGAGAAACCAATAGAGAAAGGTCTTCTACCTGCTTGTTCACTCCCTAAGTGGCCACGATGGCCAGAATTGGGCTGATCTGAAACCAGGAGCCTGGAGTCTCTTCCAGGTCTCCGACATGGGTACAGGGTCCCAAAGCTTTGGACCATCCTCTACTGCTTTCCCAGGGAGCTGGATGGGAAGTGAAATAACAAAAAAAAAAAAGGAAGTGGAGTAGTGAGGACATGAACCAGTTCCCATATGGGATCCAGGTGAGTGGGAGGCAAGGATTTAGTCACTGAGCCACCGTGCCAGCCCCTAGCCCCCCCCTCCAATTTTAAAGGTGAAGAAAGTGAGGTGCAAAAGAAAACAAAACACACACACACACAAAAAGAAGAAAAAAACAAAAATAAATAAATAAGTGAGGCGCAGAGGAGTCAGCTAACCGTTCTGGCTGGTGACTGCATTTACCTGTTTGTCCAACTTGTGCTTTTGAGTTGGAGCCGGGGTGGACTGGGCCTTGGGCAGTAAGCCAGGAAATGAGACATGAGCCAGAAGTGGATGAGTGCTCTGCGTAGGCTGAGGGTGGATAGCCAGCCCTGGGAGGAGAGTGGGGACAGTGTTCCAAGTGGAGGGGACAGGTGTGTCTGCAGTGTCTCAGAGGCCACTTAGATGGGATGCAGAGGGGCTGGTGTGTGGTCCAGAGGCTGAGATGGGTAGGGGCTGGATATACAGAAGACAGAGGGGACCCAGCCACCCATCCTTGCTGGGTAAGGACTTTGAAGTCCGTGTCACAGGAATTTGGCTAAGCAGGGGAGACTTAAATCTGATTTTATTATTCAAACAAGTTTCTTGATAGACCCTACATCCACTGGTTCACTCCCCAAATGCCCAAGATGACCCAAAGCTCAAGCCAAGTCTCTCCTGGGAGTGACAGGGACCATCACGTCTTGACCCCCCAGGAGCTGTAGTCACAGCATGCTGGAGTCAGGAACCCAGTGGCCGCCCCCCCCCCCCCAGTATGGAACGTGGAGTGTCACACCCCCACCCGACTTCCAAACACCACATCTGGGATCCAGCAAGTGTTGGGCAAACCTTTGATGAGACAGTGAGTGCGTGTGAGGCCGTGCGGCCCGGGCGCCCTGGGTCTGCTCTGAGTGGAAGGGACAGACTGCTCTCCTCGCTCCAGCCCCACCTCTACTGTGACCTGACAGATGCAGGGGGTAGGGATGGAGAGCGGGACAGCAAAGCATGGCTTCTCGTGGGGTCTTGGCGTGGCCAAGAGGATTGTGCCAGTGAGTGTCAGCGGGATGGTTTAACTACGAGGAGTTCGGAGTGTGTGTGCGTGTGTACACATATGTACGTGTGCGTGTGCTAGCATGTAAGTAGCCTTTTTAGGGCTGAGGTTAGAGATCTGGGGGTGTGGGGGTGCTGCCATGATCGGCCTCACCCAGGCCCCCAGATCCTATGTATACACAGCCCATTCAGCTGCTCCCTGTCCTGGCCTGTGAGTGGCTCTGAGGACAGTGGGCAGGGGGTGGGGAAGGCTAGAGGTAGGGAAGGGGGGTTCTGGGTGCTTCTTAGGGTCCACAAGGGCAGAGCAGGTGCCCTAGCGTCCCCTTGGCCCCTTCTTACATGATCCATTGCATTAGCTCTGAGAATGAAAACTCAAAAAGCTCCTTGCCAAAATTCTCCCATCTAAGGCCTGCTTAAGAACTTGAACCCGGGACCGGACCTGGTGCGGTGGCTTAGCTGCTAAAGTCCTCGCCCTGAACGTACCAGGATCCCATATGGCACCGGTTCTAATCCTGGCAACCCCACTTCCCATCCAGCTCCCTGCCTGTGGCCTGGGAAAGCAGTCAAGAATGGTCCAAAACCTTGGGATCCTGCACCCACATGGGAGACCCAGAAGAAGCTCCTGGCTTCGAATCAGCTCAGCTCTGGCCGTTGCGGTCACTTGGGGAGCGAATCATCAAATGGAAGATCTTCCTCTCTGTATGTCTGACTTTCCAATAAAAATAAATCTTTAAAAAAAATACTTGAACCCTGCCAACTTAGGACTGAATTGGCCTTGTCTGTGTCATGTGACTTCGGGCCTGTGACTTGTTCTTCATACTTTTGTGAAGTGTGAGTAACTGGCTGGCATGGCTGTTGGGAGCAGGACTGTAGGTGGCAGTAGCAGCAGGGCCTGGCAGCTCTGCCCACCCCTGAGGCACCTGCAGAGTCCCTCACAGAAGGCTAGCAGAGGCCTGGGGTGGCGGATTGTTGCTTTTAGATTCTCCCTACGCTGGAGTCAGAGGCCATGGGGAAATTTCTGAATTGGGAAGAAAAACGGATGTGGCATTAATCCAGGGAAGAAAGAGGGCCAGGGAAGGTTCTAGAAAGGAAGGGCAGAGCAAATGGGGGCTGACAGTCAGGAATTTGACTTTTGTTTTCCTTCCTGAGCAACGAGGGGGAGAAACAGGGAGGGTCCCCCCTCTTTGGAGGTGGCAGTGGCCAGGGGTCTGTCTGAACTTGGGGATGTCTCATTCGAACTGAAGGCTTTTGCATTTTTGTTTTGTAAAACCCCCTCTGCCTCTTCAGATCTTGCAGTAAAGTCTGATACTTATACCAAGGCCCTGTGCGAGTGATTTCTTTTTTATGGGAAGGACGGAGCTTCAGCACTTTGGGGACAGCGAGCAGCACAAGCCAAATTCTAAAGTCCGGCTGGGCGGCTCACCTACAGAATCAGGGCAGCCCCGTCTACCTCCGCCATCTAGTGGGCTCTGCTGGGAATTACAAGAAGGGCTACTTTCTGATTCAACTTGGATCCCTGCCTGCTCTGCCCATGCCCCTCTCCACCCACTCCCACCTCCCCACTCTGATG